GGAGGAGGAGGAGGAGGAGGAGGAGGAAGCGGCCGGACAGGGCTCGGCTGTCAGCCCCGCACCCCGTCGGGCTCGTTTCGCTCCGTCACAGCTTTTCGGTTTGGTAACTAACGCCGGGATGTCGGACACCTGGACCACAGATAGGTGGGGTTTGTGGGTCCGGTTTCTGGCTGTTCTGGGGTTCCCCTGCCCCCCCTCCCACCAGCTTAGACTGTAAGATTATTTTTGAAATCCATCCACCTGCAGGAAAGAAGATAGAAATAAAACTGGGGTAGCAAAAGGAGGCTTAACTAAAAAAAAGATTTAAAAAATACTTTTAACGTACTGCTTTTTCTGTATGCACCACTCTCAGTGGTAAGAAGCAGCAAACATTTCCATTACAATCACATGACTAAGTTTTGCTTGGCACTGTAAACAGGCTTTAGAAGATTTTGGTGCACAAAATGGGACAAGAAAGGAAGCCTTCCGAACATGCAAGGCTTTTTGTACTGTGGTTGTGTGACTTACCTAGGAGCAAGAGCTACAAAGCTCTCAGCAGCACTTGCAAAAAATAAAACGCTATCAGTTACTTCTCAGCTTAAAATAACCCTTTTAGATGCAAGAAAGAGAGGCAAAGACAGAAGAAACAAAAACCCTGATTTTTACTTTTGGCCAACAGGAGTAAGACTAGGGAGGGCTGTGACTTGAGCTGAGATCTGTGTATAATAGTAACTGATCAAATAAGCAGAAGTTCATGAGCCAGGCTGAGTCAGGAGAAAGTGCTCTAGTGGCTCTGTACAAGCAGTATCGAGCCCCCTTTTCCTAACAGAAGCCCAGGTTTGCCAGAAAGGAGTTGGTCTACTGGAAACAAAAGCAAGTTCTCGGGGATCTCTGTTGACAAGGAGAATAAAAACTGAGACGCGTGAAAGTAAAACCCTAACGGCATCTGAACCTTCAAGGCACACAGAGCTGGTTAGGCAGCGTGGCAATGTTTGAGACGAGGTGCATGAGGTAAAAATACTAGCGAGGGGCTGGAGCGAAAGCTCAAACTTCTCACCAGAAGATGGGAAAAGTCATCTGTTAAGACTGAACTATAAACAGTCGCTACCACCAACTCGGCTACCATATTCACTAAAGAAACCCAAGACTAGCAGAGTCCTGCATGTGAGAGGTGTAGACAGAAGTGATTTCACAAGATGCTTTTGAGACCTACCGAACTAGTGTTCAGTTACGGAGTTTCTTAGGAATATTCCATTTTTCCTCACCTTATTTGTCAGAGACAGAACTACCTTCTAACATGTTCACAAATTTGTCTTCCCTCATGTTTGAGCCTTCTGTCATTGTGATTTTAAAGGCCAGTTAGGGGAAGGGCAAACGCCCTTCATCACATCAGACTCAAGAACGCCTGTACACTCGAGGTCATCCAGTACGTGGCAGAATGTAAATTTAGTTCTGATAAGTGAATACATTGAGAAAATTAAAGAACTCATAGCTGTCTCATAGTTGTCAGTTGCCTAAAAGCCTGCTCTTTTTGCAACCAGCTCCTGAAGTCAATCAGGCAATGGTGACTCACAGATTTTTTTTCCAAGTACTACTATACAAGAAGTAATCTATTTCTAAAAAGGTGAAGTTCTCACTGAAAAAATCCAACCTGTACACACACAGTTTCTACAGCACAAAGAGAAATGCAGCCAAGAAAGCGAATGGTATCCTGGGACGCATCAAGAGGAATATGGCCAGCAGGTCGAGGGAGGTTCTCCTCCCCCTCTACTCTGCCCTAATGAGGCCCCATCTGGAGTACTGTGTCCAGTTCTGGGCTCCCCACTTCAAGAAAGATGAGGAGCTACTGGAAAGAGTCCAGCGGAGGGCTACGAGGATGATGAGGGGTCTGGAGCATCTCTCCTATGAGGAAAGACTGAGGGAACTTGGCTTGTTTAGCCTGAAGAGAAGGCTGAGAGGGACCTTATAAATGCTTACAAATATCTGTAGGGTAGGTGTCAGGAGGATGGGGCCAGACTCTTTTCAGTGGTGCCCAGTGACAGGACAAGGGGCAATGGGCACAAACTGAAGCACAGGAAGTTCCAGCTG